ACCTACCCCCTCTTTTTAAAAAACACCCCTTTTAAACTCTAACTCTACGTTTCCCTCTTACTTCTATACTCTACTCTAAACATCCGCTGCCGCCGCCTTTCCCTAATCCCACACGGGCACCCACCTACCCCCCCCTTTTAAAAACAAACTCTTTTAAACTTTTACTCTATACTTAACACTTGCTTTCTTATCCTACTTTAAATATTTGCTGCCGCCGCCTTCCCTTAACCCCACACGGGCACCCACCTACCCCCCCTTTAAAACTCTAATAACCCTAAACTTCCTATCTCCTAACCTGCTCTATAAATCTAATAAATCCCCAATATATTCGATTTAACTCTAATCCACCCTATTAAACCTTCCCGCCAAACTATTATAATATGCTCCCCTAATCCCCGTCGCTGCCTTCTTTCCACCCCCCCTTTTACATCTCCTCCTTAACAAAATCTCTAAACTCCTTAGGATACTGCACCTATACTGCGTACACCGCTGCTGCTAATACTCCCTTATACTAACACTTCTTTCCCCTTTACTTCTGCTACCCTCCCCGCGTTATATCCTTTTTATAACTTGCGCAAACCCCCTGTGGCAATCCGCACTCCTAATACCCTAAAAACGGTGCCCACAATGTCTTCGCCCCCTTCCCTTGCGCCTTCTTTATCGGGTTTATTTTTTCTTAAAATATCTTAATTACTACCCGAATATTCTCCGCTTCCGGCTTATTATAATGCTAAATATCGTGCCCCTTACTCCTTTCCTCCTATGCCTAATATTGCTGGCAACCTACCTTCCACTACTCTATTAATTTAACTAATCTGTCCACCTCTAACGCTTCTATTAACTGTAAACTTGCCTCTCTAATTGCTCGTGCCTTTTAAACCGACAACTGCTGCTTAAATTCCACTCTCTCTGCAACCGCCTCCTTTTCCATCCGGGGCGTTGCTGGTGGTACCCCTAACATGCTGTCTGCTGTAGTAACGCCCTATATATTATTGTTGGGCTTATCGGCGTCCTTAATTGCAACTGTCGTGCTGGCGCGTATATCCCAATTAATCGAAATAATCTTATCTGTATCCCTGTTGGCGACTACTATATTAGTTATTGCTTCGGCTTCTATAACTGCCTTCTCTTTATTAACCGCTACCCCTAAACGCGCTCGATATCGCTAATATCTCTGTTCCCCCTCTTCGCATTCTACTCGCTTTTAGTTCCCATCTATTGCACCGTTAATTATCTTTCTTATGCAACCCCTACCTATAATAAATCCCTGTATTTCCTCCTTAACATCCTCCCCGAAATCCTGCTTATAAACAACGCCTCTTTTATCTATTCGGAATCCGTGCATAATTATTGCTTCACTCTTCCGCCTATCACGCCCTGCCCTTCCGCTCTCCTGCGCGTAATGCCGCATTTTTCGAATTGTTCCAACGTGCACTACCGCTCGAATTATTGGCGCATTAATGCCCAACCCTAATACGTTTGTGGCCGTGAACACCTGCTGTTGCCCTTTAGTTAACTGCTTTACTAACTCGCTCTTCTCCTTGCTGCTTCCTACGTTTTGGTGGAAATAAACGCACTCTAAAACTTCTGCTAATCGAATTGTCTTCTTTACCGTGTTGCAATACATAATTACCTGCCCCCCCGCGTGCTTCTGCTTTAAACTCTCTACTAACTTAACAACTGCGTCCTCTTCCTGTTGTATATTGTATTGTTAAATGCGGTATATAATATTTTTCCGCGTTGTTAGCCCCCGAAACCACTAGCATTCTTCCCTGGCTGGCAACCCTATTAATTAAATAAATTCCTCCTCTTCTCGGGGCTAGATTATTGCCGTTAAATACACTAACTGCGTTTCTATTATAACTAAATTCCTTAACGCCAATATCCTGCTCCTCCACCCGCCTACTAAATCTAAAATTACGTGGCATTTATCAATTATAATCCGGTCCAACCGTCCCATCGACCGCTGTCGGTTGATAAAATTGCCAAATGCCTCCCCAACCGCCGACTCCGGCGTGACCAACACGACCTGCGCCTATTCTTGCGGACTTTAACTGTTCTATTTAACGCAACCGATGCCGGCTTTGTTGCAACAGCTTTTTATATCCTCCCGCAACGACACCAATAGCACAACTACTACTGTTACACCTGTTGAACATAATGCTGGCAATATAAACAACACGCTCTTGCCTCTACCTGTGCCTATAATAGCAACTACCGGGCTCTTATAGTGCATAATAGCCTTTAATGCTGGTCTCTGTACGCCCCGAAATTCGGCCTTTTCGCCTACTAACGCTTTCAACTGCTGCTCTATATCCACTAATCTTATTATCTTCCACCGTCGATATTCCTCCTTAATAGCCTCCTTTCTGTCGGCTACCGCGCGGGTTCCTTTTTTCGGCTTAGTCTGCATCGCGCACGGGAACTGCAAAAACCGATGCTACTCTGTGCTGACCCTCCGCAACTATGCCCTCCTTGCCTCAGTGCTAAATATTAACTCTGTAATCGACCGACCGTATATTCCCCCTCTAATCCTGGATCTATAGCCGGTCTGGATGTTAAATACTTTGTCTTTATTATCCGAATTATCCTTATCGCCCTGCACCACCGCCTTTACAACCGCCTTGGAATTAATATATCAACGGTATATAGCCTTAGTGCCGTGTCTCTATGCTATAATATTTAACTTAACCCCTATCTATCGCAATAACACTCCTTGCAATGCCATCTTTAAACGGTTGGAATTCTATTTCTCGGGTAACAGGACTGTATTCTTTCCCCCTTTATCCTCGGCAATGTTTTCGGTTTCTTCTATTGCTTTGCATTCTTCTTCTCCTTACTCTTTATCCTTCTTTTTATCCTCCTCTTCTTTGTCCTCTTTATCTTCTGCGCTTGCTGCATTATTAATTTAAACCTGCCTCCGCTTCCTCTATAGTATTGTTTAACCCTTTTCGGGCTCGGGCTCCTATATAAATAGACTAATTTCTGCTAGTTAACCGCCCTATACACTTTCTAACCTCTGCTAAAATAGCAACACCAACTATAAATAATACACCACTAATTCGCCCACCGCGCGTGGCAAATATTAGTGGATAACCTTGGCCTTTCCACTAACTTCTATGCCTTTGTAGTATACTGTTATATATACTACTAACCCGTCCTTAATAAAAATCCCCCTACTGTTGCTATTTGGGCTGTTTCGATGCTGCACCGTTATTAACTCTGTTCCACGCGCTGGCAACCCACCTGTTATGTGCACCAACGCTGCCAAATACTGCCGGAATACTCGCATCGCTCGTGCATACTTCTTAATCTCCTTCCCCTTCCATGCTAACCCTTGCTTGCCTTTTGCTGCTATAGCGGCTGCTGGGTTGCTGGCTCTAACATTAATAAACCTCTCCCTAATCTTCTGCTCCTGGCTGACCCAATTACTTAACCACCTCTTTCTATACACACCCCCGAATCCTAACTTTTAATTTCGCGGGTTCTTAATAAAACTCTATCCCGACTGTCGCTCGGCTGGGTTATCTACTAAATGCGCCCAATTAATAGCTGGCAATGCAACAGCTTCCTGTCCACTTAACGGCCCCCGCATAACTTAATTAACCTCTTCCAACAATAACAAATCCCGGTGCAACTCGACCCGGGCTGTTTCTACTAACCTGTGGACCATCGAACGTAACTAGGGCATGCTAAATCGAATATTACTATACAATAATATATCGTCCATCCACTTAATTACGCCCTCGGTATTAGTGGTGTACCGGATCTTTATCCTATACGCCTTTAACCGCTGCAACTAATCTACAGGGTGCGGTATTCCGCTATATTAAACCAACGTTATAAACCGGTCTGCCATCTCTTGCACAAATTCAAAATGCGCCGGTGCTATTTCCTCGGCGTTTTTCTGGCTGAAATGCTCCTTCTGTTGTATATCCGCCGCGCGCTCTTTACGCATCTTTATAGCCTAATATAAAACCAATATGCAGGATATATTAATAATAGTTGCAATCTTAGGCGTGTATATCAACGCGCTTTCCTAACCGCATCGCTGGCTAATGCCTAAAACGGCCATGCCGCTAATTAATGCGCTGGTGTACTTGTTGTCCGTAAACGGGTGGTCCAACAACACTAATATAAATGCTAAAACGGCCTCCTCTAACCTCTCTTACTCCTTCTCGTTAATTATATAACTGTTGTTGCTATTACTGCTGTTGTTGCTAATATTACTATTATTGCTATCCTCCTCTTTATCCTGCCCTACTATTATCTTAATCTTTGCCAACGCTAACCCCTATTTGCCTGTTAACCTAAATACTGGCCTCTAGTTCTAGATGTCGCCCTCGCTCTCCGACTTTTCTATCTCCTTACTGCAAATCGGCTCTATTCTGCGGGTTCTCTAAACGTAACGGATAATAGCCAACTAACACGCGCTGTATTTAACTATTGTCTTGCCCGTCTAGCGTGCGCTAAACGGCTTCTCGTTTGTTTCGTTGCCGGTTTTACGTCGATTAATGTAATTTATAGCTGCTAATCCAACCACGCTGGCTTTAGATGCTTACTGCGCCTTCCAAATTACCATCTTAACTACAAAATACAAATTGGCCAACGCTCCCTCTCTCTTCTCGGGCTTGCGTATTAACAACTCCAACCACTTACTATCTAATCTCTTTAAATGCTTTGCCCATCCGGCGCGGTTTAACTATGCATTAACCTTAAATTGGTTATCGTCGGCCTGGATCTAACTGCTCGCTTCCTTGTCGGCTCTCTTAATATTAATTATTGCCTGTGTAAATGCGGCCTCTAATGCCTCCTGGATAGGATCCTTCTATTCTTCTCTCTTAGCGGCTGGGTTGTGCGCGTTTACCTGGAACAATCGGGCCAACGACGCCTTGCTGCTAAATTTCTAGCAATGCACGCTAACTTCCCACATCTTCGCCCGCTGCATAATGCTCTGCTGCCTTTAGTAATAACGTCCTCGCTTTCGCGGATTCTCCTACCTATACTCCTTCTTATAATAGGTCTGCATATTCTGCAAACCGCGCACTATAGCTCCACACAGCTGGTCGTTTTTATGGGTTCCTAAACATTTCAATCCGTTATGCCAAATAGGTAAATGCGGCACGGGTTTAGCGGTGGGTGCTGGGAAAACAACCTGCCTGTCGTTCTGGGCCCAATCTTCCATATCTGCTACGGCCTCTTATATGGATTTTCGTGTTGCTAATATTAATTCCTGGTGGTGCTTAGTTAAATGCATTTGTAACTGCGTTTTAGTAATACCGTGGCTACAAACTCGGCAAACTACAATGCGGTACTGCGGGATATGCTCGAAAATTCGGGTGAATTATTCTATAGCGTTTAATACGATTGCTACGATAATTGCTGTAACGGATTCACGGTTTAATATAATAATGGGATGATGGAATATTGGATAATAGATAATTAATAAACGTGTTAATCGCCGTGTTAATAGCGGCCGGACGTGCTTTTAACTACTCTCACCGCTACTTAAACCCTTCCCAACGCCTCCTGCTCTTGGCCACCTAGATTGTTACACCCGTTACTTAACCATATATCTGGGGGATCTATCTACGACCTTGCGTGCCTGGGTGCAACTGGTGGCATAGTAGGTCCTAATTTCCGGGTACCTGGGGCTTATAAATAGCTTGCAACGACTATATCTATTACAAACTTTAGGTACTTAACTACCCTCCTACGTTCGCGCCTTAACTGCGATCGCTGCGCACGGCCACGAATATTATTACAACCCTAACTACCCCAACGCGACGACGACAACATAATCCAACGGTCGCATTGTTAATCCGAATGGTGCATTTAATGCGCAATGGTCGATAACTTGCCTGCAGCGTTGGAACCAGCAAATTCGGTTGGGGTTTGCCACGGTATGATTTGATTTTCGTTTCTAAATCATATTGTTGCAGCGCACGGTTCAGTTTTAAATCATAATATAGCATATGCCACGATATGTTTTACCTATAGGTTGATAGAATATTACTTAAATTCTAATTTTAATATCTTATTTCTTTTACCAATAATAATTACTTACTTTTTAACCTTTAATTTTTTTTTTTATTATTTTACTTTTATTATAATATTTTTTTTAACTACTTTATATTACTATTTACCTTCTTATTAATTCTACTTTTATTATCTTACCCTTTTATTTACCTACTAATTAAACTCTTCTAATATCTAATACTTCTTTTTTAATTTCTATTTTTT